AGGATGGATATTTCTTGTTGTGGATTGAACCTTTTATCATTATGTAGTGTCCTTTTAAAATTTTTGATAACTTAATTGTTGTTTTGTGTGATATTAAGATTGCAACTCCTACTTTCTTTTGTGATCCATTTGCCTGGAAACTCGTTTTCCAACCTTCAACTTTGAGTCAGTGTGTGTCCCTTGAAGTGAGATGAGTCTCCCGGATGCAGCATATAATTGGGTCATGGTTTCTTATCCAGTCCACCATTCTGTGTCTTTTCAGTGGTGCATTTAGTCCATTCACATGATTGTTTATCCTTGTCATTAGGTTCTTATAGTTTTTCCTTTGTTTGCTTATTTTCTTTTGGCTTTGGAGTTAATGTATGTGTGTTTTCAAGTTTCTTGTTGCGCTATATTCTCTGCTGATTCTGTGCTCTGCTGTTCTCCTAGGAAGTATGTGGTCAATCTTTTTCTTCTTTCTTCTGTGCTTAATACCTTTTTAAATGTATCCTATAGAGCTGGTCTGGAAGGTGCATAATCTCTTAGGGATTGGATGTCTGGGAAGGATTTTAATTCTCCATCACTGATGAAGCTAAGCTTGGCTGGATAAGAAATTCTTTGTTTAGCAGGGCTCGGTGGCTCAGCCTGTAATCCCGCGCCTTTGGGAGGCTGAGGTGAGTCGATTGCCTGAGCCCGTGGGTTCGAAACCCGCCTTGGCAGGTGAGACCTCATCTCTACAATAAATCAAAATAATTAGCTGGGCATGGTAGCGTGCACCTGTAGTTCCAGCTACTTGGAAGGCTGAGGCAGAAGGATGCCGGAACCCAGCAGATCAAGGCTGCGGTGGCCGGGAGTGGCCACTACACTCCAGTCTGGGCAACAGTGAGACTCCAACTCAAAAAAAAAAAAAAAGAAAGAAATTCTTTGTTTAAATTGTTTATCTTTGAGGACTTTGAATATAGGGCTCCAGTCTCTTCTTGCTTGTAGTGTTTCTTCTGATAGATCTGCTGCTATTCTGATTGGTTTTCCCCAGTAAGTAGTCTGACCTTTCTCTCTTGCTGCCTTTAGGATTTTTTCTTTTGTGCCTACTTTGTGTAGGCAAATTATCATGTGTCTAGGGGTTGGTCTTCTCATTTGATGTCTTTTGAGGGTTCTCTGTATCTCTTGTGTTGGCTGGTCACATCTCTGGTGAGATGGGGAACATTTTGTTGGATTACTTTCTGGAATACTTGCTCCAAGTTGTTCTCCATTTCCCTTTCTTCTTCTGGGATACCAATCAGATGTAGGTTTGGTCTCTTGATATAACTGCCTATCTTTTGTAGGCTTTGTTCTTTCTTTCTGAGTTCTTTCTATGTTTTTTACAAATCAGGTTAATTCCGTGTTCTGATCTTCAAATTCTGAGATTCTTTCTTCACCTAGATTAATTCTGCTTTCCATGCTTGTTATCTGGTTATTTCCTGGATGAAATTTTTTATTGCCAAAATCTCTGTTACAAGTTCTTTCAATGTTGCATCTTGTCTTTCTTAAGTCCTATTTACTCTTTCCAACCATTCCCTAATCCCTGTCATATTCTGGGGATAGTCTTTGGTGACTTCCATTGTTTGGCCAAGGTTTGATTTTTTAGGAGTTTTGTCTTTGGTACACTTGAAATTGCCTGAGGTCTTCCTTTGACTTTTCCTCATTTGTGGCAGATCTCTTGTTTTTCTCTTTAATTCTGTTATTCAGTGTCAGTGGGAGAGGCTTTCCCTTCTGATGTTTGCTCAGACCTCTGTTCTTCCCTGATCTGGGCTCAGGATTTGTTCTATTACAAAATAGGATGGTGAATGGGAAGCTTTGCTGTTTCTTGTAGTTTCAAAATTCGAATAAAGTAGGGGATAGGATGCTAGGAATCAGATACTACTTGCAAATTAAAATTTTCACTAATTGTGGTATGTGTTCCCTGAGACCCACACCCCACTACCACTTTATATGATGTTGCAAAGCAGAAACCAATGCAAAAGCAATTGAATACATACATACACACTCCAAAACAAACTGGAATAACAACAAAGCAAAACAAAACAATCAGCAACAAAAAGACCCCCAAGAAAACTAAACACATACACACATGCCTAGCACAAAGTGAATAAATAAGAAAAGCAGAAAGACTGAAGGAAAAAAGGGGGATTCAGTTGAAATCTCACACATCTATTGACATTCCCCTTAAACTATAAAAAATGAATATAAAAATGACCTAGAAGAACAAAAGCACTAAAACCATCAACCACAACAAAATCCAAAGGTGAACACTCAATCATTCACATACTCACAAAAACAGAAGAAAACAACAATAGAAGAAAGAAACAGAAAAAGAAAAGAAAAAGAAAAAAAATTTTTTTGGGGGTGGGGTGCAGATCAAACCCTCATATACACATTCATGCACAAAGGAAAAATATTTTTTAAATAGATGAAATAACTAGCAAACAGTCAAAAAAAATTTTTTTTAGTTAAAAAATAGTTGAAAATTTAAAAAACAAAAACAAACAAACAAAGAAAAAACCTGCCCTCTTGTGGCAGGCTCTGTTATTGTTCCTCTAAGCAGGTCTCTCCTGCAGAGCCACCTCTTTCACTCTCCTCAGGGAATGAAGCAGAGAAGGAGGAGGGACAGAGTGGGTGGGGCTGCAGGCCTCCCCTCCCACTCTCGTATGGTCAGGGAGATCTCTGATGGGGAGGTACGGGACTGTCTCTTCCCCAGGTATGTACTGTCATTGGGGTGCCACAGCCAGGCCTATCCTGGAACGGAGCTCTCCTATTGCGACTGAAGTCCAGGCTCCGCCTGGGATTGTCCCTCTTATTCATGCAAGGCCCAGCTCTATGGGTCTGACGTTCAGAGGATTGCTGTGAAGGAAAGGATTTGGGTCAACCCCGACTCACCACTGATCTCTTTGGAGTTCTTCCTTTTTTTCTGGCCACACTTTTTGTCCCACAGCTGGGTCAGGGTAGGGGGTGGGGCACCTGGAACTCAGCATTCATCAGGTAACTCTGAAGTTTGTGTTCTCAGGATATTCCCATAGGACCACGCTGAAGCCCTGAGTAGTTGATCCACCAGTCACAGAGATCAGATCAGTTGGTCCGTGATGATGAGCAAGTCGAAGCACTTTCCTGCCCCACCTTCAGTACAGTGGTGGGGTGCCTCTCCTGTCCTCTTCCATGGGAACTTGCCTCTGGGCTCCATCTACAGCCCCTTCCAGGGCCCTGCAAGGTGCTGAAGTGATGAGGCAAAGCCCAGAGCAGTCTCTCTCCTGCTTCAATGGTGTGGGAGTGCCTGGGGCAATAGTGTCTCCCCTGCGCTGCTTTTCCAAAGGAAAACTTCTGTCCATTTTGAAAAAACAATGCTGTTCCCCTCTGCCACCCAGGAAGAACCAGGAATGAAGTAGAGAAGCTGCAGTACCTGCTGTTGCACAAGGGGCCTGGCCACCTGCTCACGAGCCCCGCTTAGACAGTTTCTCCCAGCGTTTTCTTGCCAGGGAGGGTTTGTTGATTAAAAAAAAAGAAAGAAAGAAACAAAAGAGAAAACGGTGCTCGGCTTCTGTGTCCTGGGAATCGCTAGGATCCAAGCCCAGATGCTGTGGCACCAACCACTGCACCAGGAGAGCCCTGGCCGCTGGCTCCCTACCCCTCACTCAGCCATTCACACACCCACTCGCTCACCAGCACATACACAAAATTCTTCATACACTCACGCACTCACACGGGAACTCGCATAGTCTGACTGGCTCGGCCGCTATCTTCCCTCTTTCCTCAGAACTCTCTTTCTAAAGCACAGCTTGGATCATGGCTTTGTCCAGCTCAGAAATCATCCATGGCTCTAAATCACCTACAAGGTGAAACCTGAGCTCCTAGCCTAATGCCAAAGGCCCTTCAGGAGCAGGTACCGTCTTTCCTGTCCAGCCTTATTGTCTAAGACTCCCAAACATACTTCCTTCCCCTTCCTGGGTCAGGTTGTTTCTTTACAGTGCACAATCGTGCCCTCAGTCCCATGGCCCTTGCTGTTTAGAATGCTTATCCTAAAAAATGTGGTACATATACACAATGGAATATCATGCAGCCATAAAGAAGGACAAATATATGGACTTTGTAGCAACTTGGATGGATTTGGGGTTGATCATACTCAGTGATTTATCACAGAAACAAAGAACTGAGTTCCACATGTTCTCACTCATAAGGTGACCTTGAACAATTATAATGCTATAAGAAAGCGATTGGCAAAAGTGGAAAACCATCAGGGGAGGGGGAGTGGGATTGGCAGTTGAGAGAAAGTGCTAGGGGAGGGAGGGGCATACCTCATCAACAACGGTAGCTGCATGATTAATGTTTATATATCTAACCCTGAATTGTACCCCACATCTTTATAATAAATTAATTAATTTATTAAAAAATAAAAAGGAAAAAAAGCTGTAATAGCTATTACCAGAAAAAAAAAAAGAATGCCTATCCTTCTCTCAGCAAACTAAAATCATCTTTCAGGTACTGTTTATCCAGTTCAAATCTCATTATTTGTACACCATCTTCCCTAAAATGTGAGCTCCCTCTTCTCTGTTAAAACAATGAAACTTCTAGTGTACACTTAATCTGTGTCAGGCACTGCCTTTCTCATTTGATGTTCTCATCTGTCTTTTAAGGTAAGTATTATTACTCCCTTCTTGCAGGTGAGGAAACTGAGGCTCAGAGAAGTAGAGTAATTTGCTCACTCCTAGAGTGAGAAAAGACAGAGATAGGATTCAAACCAGATCTGTCTGAGCCCAAGGGTAATATGCTTTCTAGGATTCCATTGAGTTAGGATTGATTTGAACTGAAAGACCCAGGGCCTTGTCTCCCTCTTGATATAAACAGCCAACCTATTTCTGAAGCAGAGTAGTAGCCTCTGGGGACTCCAGCAGGGTGTGTGCAGGGTGTGGTGGTCCTGGTAGGCTTACATGTTGCATTAGGGTGAAAGAGCTCTGCTGTACCTTCTCACCCTCCTTTCCTTGCCTGGCCCTCAGGAAGATGGCTTCCTCAGGAATCTACAAACTGGATGATGGGCAGCCTTACCTGAACAACTGCTTTCCAGCCAAAAATCTCCTTCGGATGCCGCAGGAAGGTCAGATGACTTCTCGGTGTGATACCTTTCCCTCATATTCAACTCCTGCTGTAGACTGTTTCTCATGTTCATTTCTTCCTCTCCAGCCCCTTCCCTGCCCCACCCAATCTCATTCCTGCCAACCCATCTTCTCCCAGTAGCCTCAGTGGGACTTCTGAAGTACACATTTAACCACAGTGACCCCTTCTATTCAGTGACTCGTCATTGCTGACTCTTACCTGGCATTTGGTGTCATTCAGAGTCTAACCTTATCCTCTGCTGCAAACCTATTCCTTTATGTTGTATTCCACAGTGCTTCTTTTTCACATGTTTTTTTAAAAAAAGTTACCCTGAATGTTCTAGCCCTCATCCTAATTAGCCAAACTCTTCCCGTACCACAAAGCCCTGCTCTTCTCCTACTTCTTTCAGTAAGCCATGTCCCACCACCCTAAGCCCTCAGGGCTCATCCTCTCCTGTGAGCTGTCTTCCTGTCAGTGTTCCTTTTTCTTTTTTTTTTTTGAATTGGAGCGTCACTCTGTTGCCCAGGCTGGAGTACAGTAACATGCTTACGCAGCCTTGACCTGCTGGACTCAGGCGATCTTTCCGCCTCACCTTTTCAGGTAGCTGGGACTACAGGCATGTGCCGCCACCACACCCTGGTAATTTTTTGGTTTGTTATAGAGATAACACCAAGTTGCCTAGGGTGGTCTTGAACTCCTGGGCTAGGCAGTCTTCTCACCTCTGCCTCCCAAAGTGCTGGGATTACAGGTGTGAGCCACTGCACCTGGCCCCTGTCTGTGTTTCATACTAGATGAATAATCATAATCTGCTACACTCCTTAATAAAATGACGTAAACTTAACTCTGAAAGTAATTTTTCAAATGTTTATCTTGTTAAAAACTCTCATGGAGCAGGGAATCCTCATGATAATGAGAGGAGCTCTATAAATGGAACACTGTCCAGAAGTGTGGGTTCTCTGGATTGGATTTGTTGCTTTGAAAGGGTAAGGCAAGGGAGAAGTAGAACTTATTTACTCCAGATGTTGTGACTTGTTGGTCACTCTGTAGGTAGAATACTAGAAGAGCCTTCTCCCCCTATCTGTCTTCCCCAGTTCTCTAAAATTATTTCATTTTTCACATAGAGACCTTCCCTGGCCATTTTACTGTCTAAAACCTTCCAATGGAGCTATCAGTATGATGAGCTCATGGTTTCTCTCTCTCTCCCCTCACTTCCTCCCCACCCCAACCTCTTTCTTTTTCTCTTTTACATACATACACACACACACACACACACACACACACACACACACACACATAGATGCAGAAATATAGATGTATGTTTCTGCATGTGTTAGCATACATACATATATTTTCTAGTCCACTGAGAGCAGTGATACCTCAGTAGTGAAGAGCATTCCTGCTGTCTAGATCTTGGTTTCTAAATACCATTATCCAGATAAAAGAGCATAGCTCCTTGAAGAAATAGTTGTTTGTTGGGTTGGGGCAGTAAAAATACATTGTTGAGCTTGGAATATCTTGTGGTACCAGAAAGTAAAGAAGTGCTCAGAAAAGTGATGCATGTTGAAAGGACACAGGAGCCAGCTTGAAGGAACTCACAATGGTCAAAACTGGGACAATCTGAGCAATGAAATAAATAAAGGTAGAGTTGGGTTGTAAACCACAGAACCAATAAATATTCAGGAGTCCATACTGATATAAATACATATTTGAATATATAAATAAATGGGGGAGAAGGAACGGCTCTTTTTTGGTAGGATTCTAATTTTAAAATGTAGAAGGACAGGTCTGTCCTTCTGTGGCTTATGCCTGTAAGTCCAGCACGTTGGGAGGCTGAGGCAAGAGGATTGCCCAGGCAACATAGCGAAACCTCATCTCTACAAAAAATAAAAATAAAAATAAATCAAAGGAATGAGGGATATAGAAAAATCACTATCCAAACATAATAATTATAATTTTTGCAGGTAAAGAACTATCTATGGATATTGTGTCAGAGTTCTTCAGAGAAAGAGTACTAGTAGGAGATAGGCAGGTAGGTGGGTAGAGAGATAGATTTCCCCCCCCCAAGAAATTAGCTTATATGATTGTGGGGGCTGGCAAGTCTGAAATTTGTAGGGCAGGTTGGAAACAGTTGGGAAGGGACTGGTGCTGTTGTGTTAAAGTAAAATTTCTTCTTCCACGAAGCCTCAGATTTTTGTTCCTAAGGTCTTTCAGAGGGCTATCCACATTATCAAGAATAGTCTCTTTCACTTAATATCAACTGACTGTAGATATTAGTCATATCCACAGCATATTATCACAGCAACACCTAGATTAGTGATTCATTGAATAACTGCATATTATAGATCAGCAAAGTTGATGCATTGACCATCACAGATGCTAGAATAAGTGGTAAAAGTAAGATGAGAGACAGAAGTATTTGCATAGTCTAAAGTTGTATTTATTAATTACAAAGGAAAAGATAGTACCTTCTCAGTAGAGAAGCCAGGCAGACACCACTTTAAGTACTCAAAATTAACATTACTGGTAAAAAAGCACATTGACAATCTTGAATCCCCTGATATGATGCGCTGAGAAAGGCAAAGCATCACTTCTGTGAACTTTTTGGTATAGATCAAAGCCTTAGTCTAATCATGGGAAAGCATCACACAAATTCAAATTGAGGAACAATTGTATAAAATAATTGGCCATTACTTTTCAAAATTGTCAAAATCACACAAGAAAAAGAAAGACTGAGGAATGGTCACTGATTAGAGGAGACATGACAGCTGAATGACTTGTGAGATTCTAGATTGGATCCTGGAACAGAAGAGGACATTAGTGAGGAAACTGGCATAATTCAAAGAAGGGCTATAAAATAGTAGCTAATATACCAGTGTTACTTTCTTGGTTTCAGTAATCATGTTGTGACTATTTAAGATGTTAATATTAGGGATGCTGAGTAAAGGCCATATGGGAACTCTGTGTACTATCTTTGGAGTTTTCTAAAGGTCTAAAATTATCTCAAAATGAAAAATTATAAGGGCAAAAAAACCTCCCCACGGATCCTCTTCCTGCTTAAAACCTACTCCATTAAAACCCAAGCTCCTTCTTCTGGTCCTCAGGACCTTTTATGATCTGACTCTGCCGATCTCTCCAGCCTCATCTCTTTTTCCTCTTGTTGATCTCCTAACACATTCTAGGCCTTCCTTTCTGGCCATTTTGGGAAGGACTGGGATCTTCAGGAGTCAGGAATATGAGGTTAGGATAAAGGAGAAAGAAAGTTCATGCCTTAGTTGGGAACAGCTTTGGGAAATGGGGTGCCTGGAATTCCAACCCAGAGTGGGAATAGGAAATGACTCACTTGAGACACAGGGCAGGAATTGCATCCAAGATGCAGATTTAGCAGCCATGGTCAGGTAAGCCAAGGCAGCGATAGTGGCCTGTGCCAGAAGAGAGCCAGTGGTTAGAGGCACCAAGCTAGTTGCAACAGCCCCCTTATATTATTACATATTAAATTTTGATATATTATTATATATGATATATCTTATTATTATGTCTTATTTGGGCTGGGGCTATGTCTTTTTCATTTCCCTTGTATCAGTTCCCAGCACAAAGTAGATGCTCAGGGTAAGTCTGAATGCTCAGGGTAAGTCTGAATGGGCAGGGAGTATGGCTCAGGGTTCATTCAGTCATTCGTTCAGCAACAGTCACAATGTAGTAACTCTGTGCAAGCCTTGGGAATACTGAGATGGATGAACCAAAGACCCTATTCTTATGGAGCTTCCACTCTTGGCAGGGGACAGACAATAAATAAGTAAACAAATAAAATAATTGCAGATTGCAGTGAAGAACATGCAGTAAATACACTGCTGATGCAGGAGAAAACAGATTCCAGAATGTTATCATGATTATTGTTAGGTGGGCTTACTAATAAACCTTATATATATTCTTTTTTTTTTTTTTTGAGTTGGAGTCTCACTCTGTCACTCAGGCCACGCCAACCTCGACCTGCTGGGCTCAGACAATCCTTCTGCCTCAGTCTTCCAAGTAGCTGGAACCACAGGCCTGCGCCACCATGCCCAGCTAATTTTTTGATTTATTGTAGAGACAGGATCTTGCCTTCTTACCCAGGATGTTCTCAAACTCCTGGGCTAAAGCTGTTTTCTTGCATTGGCCTCTCAAAGTGCTAGGATTATAGGCATGAGGCACCATACCCAGCAAACCTCATATTTTATTTTGCTTACACACACTTTTAAATTCTTTCTACAGCAAACATGTATTACTGGTTGTCATTGTTTTTTTTTTTTTTTAATGTCAACTGTCCTATCATTTTTTTATTCTGAGTTCCTAACAACTTTTTCTCTACAATGATTGAGGTCTGGGAAGATGGACCCCATTGAGTTGAGATCATACACTGGGCTTTACCCAAGAGATGACCAATAGGGGAGTAACTAGCTGGCACAGGAAAGAGTGATGAGCTGTACTGAGGTGGAAAAGGGAAGACATCAAAGAACAGGAAATACTTGATCTTAGGTTTTGAAGGAACAAGAGAGTTTGGAGATAAAAATGAGAAGGAAGGAATTGGACAAGTCACTCCTCCTTAGTCTAAGCCTTTTAATCTGTAATATGGGGACTATAACATGTTTTTCACTGGGTTTTAGGGTCAATTAAATGAGATCAATATGTAGACATTCCTTCCTTCCCCACCCCCGAGCAGCAGTGAAGTATCTAGTGCATATTAAGTAATCAGGAACTATTTTTCATTTTAGTATTATAGATAAATATTCTGTAATTGCACTAGTTGTAGCTTTGGAGGAGTTTTCCCCTTTTCACTGTTTGGATCTTCCCAACAGGCCGAGGACACTGGTTAGTAGCTCGGAAGGGTAGCCTCAAGAAGAAGCTCAAGAGTATGGTTGAGGCACCAGCTGAAGGTCAGGAAAGCCAGAAGAAAGTTTCTTTTGAAGTCAGGAGGAAGAAAGGGTCTCGGCAGGAAAACCAAGCGGACATTCCTGGACACATCCTGGACTGTGCTTTCCTGGTGAGAGTAAATGCATCCTGGAGTGGCTGGCAGAGTTGGCTGGGGCGGGGTGGGAAAGGACTTGTCCTACTCTGGTACAACTATCCCAACTGACTCCAATTAGAGTGGTGTTGGCAAATTGAGTGTAGCCAGGATAATGAAGGGACCCAACAGTTTCTTTACATGTAGAGCTTTCTTCACATTCACCTTGTGAAATAGGTACTGTCATCCTTATATTGTTGCCCTTGGGCAGATGGGAAAACTGAGGCCCTTGAGAGGTAGTTTGCCTTGACTGAGGCCCCACAGCTAGTAAATGACTGGGCCAGGATTAGGACTCTTGTCTACTGACTCCAAAGCCTATACCTTTACATTATGAGGTAAAAACTCTTAACTGAGTTGGAGAGACAAGGAAGCAGGTCAGGGTGCGCAGCCCGTTGAAAATCCTATTCCAGCACCTAGCAGGGTGGAGAGAGAGATTCCTGCTCTGTTCTGCTCTGGGACAATCTCTTCAGTATCAGGTGGGGTTGAGGAGGTCCTGTTCTCCAACAGCCTTTGTCCTTCAGCTTTAGTGTCTGGCTGAAAGCCAGGAGAGCTGACCAGCTATTAACTAGTGCCTGGGGCAGGCACTACAAAGAGAACTGGAGTGGCTGAGTTGGAGACCTGCCAGGGATTTCACATCTGCTCTGTGTAATGCCTCAGTGGCTTTGCAAAGAAGGACACGTTTTATAAATCAATATTAATGTGCAGTCTGCTTCTCATAGCTCCCCCAAGAAGAACTCTCTGGCGGCCTATTTTGCTCCCAGATTCTGCTTATAGTTCCCAAGAGATGGATGTCTGCGTAGATCAGACATTGAACGAGAACTCTGTTGGTTTCATCTCACCTCAATGGGTGATACAAGCTTTTGGCAGTCCTGTGGAATTAGTTTCATTATTGGCTCTTCTCACTGGAAATGAAATGGTCTGAAACAATAGTTCTGAGAAAGGGCAGAAACACTTTCCATAGTGGCCTGTTTTTTCTCCTTTGGTTCCAAATACATATATTTTCCCACATTTAATCAGTATGGTTGTTCCTCATGTTGCCACTATGGGCAGAAACAACAGGGATGTTTTTCAGAGTATGGACTATCTATTCTGCCTATTGGAGAGTTCCACTTGAATGTTTCACTGGCACCTCGTATTGAACTACTGTACCAACCCCCCTACTCCAAGTCCTGAAACATATCTCTTTTCCAGTGTTTACTGTTTCTGTGTTGGTACCACTAGCTACCCAGTCACCAAGCCTAACCCTGGGGTTATCCTTGATATTTGCCTTTTTCACTATCCCCACTCCCACTTTCATCAAGCCCCGGCACTTTTATTAAATCGTTGTCAAATCTGTCTTCTTATCTCTACTGCTACCACCCTCATCTGGGCCACTATCATCTCTTATTGGACTAATTTAGAAACTCTCTAACTAGTTTGAACCAATTAGGATGCTTTTATTTCACATAAAAAAAGAAGCCACAGGTATTTACTAGTTTAATGGCACCTTACAAGACCCAGCTTCCTTCTGTCTTTCTGCTCTGCCATCCTCAGCATATTGATTTGTTCTCTTGGGCTGATTGCCTTCACAATTCTGAGATGCCTGTAGCAATTCTGGTCATTATATACAGAGGATAACATCCAGAGGTAGGGAAGGGATTGTTGCTGTCTTAACATCTATTTTTAGAAGTAAGAAAAAACTTTCCAAGACCAGCCTCCCACCTGCAACAGTGTTTCATTGTCCAGTCATTGGTTAGGGAATGATTGGTTTAGAGAGGTCAAGACTTATTGCTTGGAGCTGGGGCTTATGCACATGTACACTCCGAGAAACGTGAATAACATTGGTGTTCTTTAACAAGGAAGGAATTGAGAAGTGTTTATGGAGAGAGTAATAATGTCTGATACGTTGGTCTCTCTTCTTCCTCTCCTATCTTCTCATTTACATGAAGTACTCTGATATATCTATGTGTATCAGACATAGCAATTTTATAAAATTACTACCAGCCCCATGCCAGAAAATCTTTGACAGCTTTCTATTGGTTGTAGGATAAAACTCACCCTCCTTTAAAGAGCCAACGTGGACTCACATGATCTAATGATTGCCTTTCTAGCCTCAGCTTGTATTTCATCCTCTCAAAAGCACCTTGCTTTTTTCCTGCCTTCACAATTCCTACTACCCACTTTCATGAGACCATCTCCTATTCAGCTCTTAGGTCTCAGCTGAAATATTACTTGCTCAAATAAATATTTTCTCATTTTGAGACTGAGATTAGAACCTACTGTTATTATCTCCCATAGCACCGCGAATTTCTCTTTTAAAATACCTGTTACATTTCTAAATACTTGCTTCTACTTGGCTTCCTATGAGACTGTATGTTCCATGAAAGTGTGGAATACCTCTGCTTTTTCTTCATTGTCTTCCCAATGCCTAGTTCAGTGCCTAAACATAATAGGTACCATAAATGATAAACAGAAAAAAGGAATGAGGGTTGATTAAGTATACATAGAAGCTCCAAAGCCGAGATTTGCTTCTAACTTTTTAATTATATGGGGTGACATAGTCAAAAGAGCATAGAGTTTAGTGTTTTTAGATTTGGGTTTGTAAGATCTCACTTATTAGCTGTCAGACCTTAGGCAAGGCATATTACCTCTCTTACTCTTGCTTTCCTCATTGATAAAGGGAGATAATCTTATGTCAAGGAGTTTAGTTAGCTAATCCTAGTTTTGTTTGTTTGTTTGTTAATGTATCTAGCACAATATATGACCCAAAGTAATGCTTAGTAAATATTTACAAAGTAATGCTTAGTAAATATTTGGAGAATGAATGGATGAACAGTGAATGAATGAACAAGAAGCAAATTATGACAAATGTATGAGATTGCCCAATAAGAAAAAGCTGATCAGAAATAGAGAAACTAAAAGTTGTGGGGTCGTAAGAGCTGACTCTCTGTTCTGCCCTAGCTGAAGCACCACTGTGTGAGAAAGCCATCGGACCTGTGCAGCATTAATGTCAGTGGCCTGAAGTTCTCCCAGGTGAGGCCAGCCAGCAAAGATTGATTTGGGTGAGCCAGACCCAAGGTGGCACCTGTTCTGGTTTGTCTATTGCACCTCTACAGTCCCTGAGGACTGGAAATCTGGTTTTGTGGAAAGAGGAAAGGGAGGGTCAGGCAAAGATTCATTGGGTAGAAACAATATTCAGACGCAGACTTTTGCTATAAATTTGGTATTGCCCTTGTCCCATTGGAGGTGAAGTAAAGAAAATTGCCTCATGAAACTGGTTTCACACTTGCCATATAGTTTTGTTGGGGCATAATTCATTGTTTGAACACAGAGTTTCTATCACAAGAGCCTATAAGAGAAATTTCTCTCAGGTTTCAGTGCCAGGAATAATAATGGTTCTCCCAAGAAGCTGGTTTGTTCCTAACTTATGGGTGCTGTGTCTCATGTAATGAATCATGTTTCTTTCTGTACTTCGGCTTATAGGCAGCTTGAGCCAAATTTGTGAGACACCATCAGCCAGTGTATATACAGGATATTATGGCATATATCTTTGATTTGTAGGCTTCCATAGCAAATCAAGAGAGATTGCTTGTATAACCAGTCCCAAGAGTAGGGCTGTGAGCCACAGGATGGCCAAATGACTGGTAGAGCAGACTGCTCTCTTAACAGGATTCTGTTTCACTCCATTTAGCACTCGTATTTTCAGAACTGAGTTACTTAGGGACAGTTTAGCCATAGAATGGCATCTTGGTCCTCCATTCCAGGCCAACATGTGGATTCCCAGAGATTGTATTATAGAGTTCACATGCAGTGCTGAGGCAAAGTAGTAGAGGATTTCAGAAGTCTCTATCAATACAACTTTTGAGGGCTGCAGCATGACTGGTCTAAGCTCAGTCCCCCCACGGGGTACTTTCTGTTCTTCCTTCGTTTATTCACTCACCTACCCACTGAGCATTACTGGGACCTAGTGTGACTCTGTGCTGTTTACTGGAGGGCATAGAGGTGGCTCATACACTGCTTGCCCTCTGGAGCATATAGTCCAGTGGGGAGGGAGGAGTCCAGGCTTAGATGAATATAGAGATAGACAGGACTAGCTAATGCAGTCAGTGAGGGAAGCACAAGAGTGCTGAATATTAGCTCAGAGGACAGCCCCTAACTTAGCCTTACACTAAGGAAACACACTCTGGAGAGGGTGATAGCTTAGCTGAGATCCAGGGGTTGGGTGAGTACTTGCTAGCTTTATGGTTAATCCATAAGGGAAATGGTTATTAAATTTAATTAAAATTAAAAATATATATTTAACAAAAGGTACCATAAACAGAGGTAAACGATAAGCTGTAGACTGGGAGACAATATTAGCAATTAATATAACCAAAAAGGATTAGGGCCCAGAATATATAATGAGCTCCCACAAAACAATAGTAAAGGCCAGGCTCAGTGGCTCAAGCCTGTAATCCCATCACTTTGGGAGGCCGAGGTGAGAGGATTGCCTGAGCCCACGAGTTGGAGAACATGATGAGACCTTGTCTCTACAATAAATTTTTTTTTTAAATTAGCCATGTGTGGTAGCATGCTCCTATAGTTCCAGCTACTTGGAAGGCTGAGGCAGAAGGATCGCCAGAGCCCAGCAGGTTGATACTGGGGTGACCGTGAGCATGCCACTGTGCTCCAGCCTAGGCAACAGAGTGAGACTCCAACTCAAAAAAAAAAAAAGGAAAAAAAAGTAGACTTCCCTGTAGAAAAATGGGCAACGATATAAATATGTTAATATACAGAACAGAAACTTGAAAGGCCAGTAAGTGTAGGAAAAGACATTCACCCTCATAAGTAATCAGGAAAGTGTAAATATAGTGCCATTTTACAATCAGATGGGCAAAAATCCACAAAGTTTTATTACTCCATTTGCAAGGATTTAACAAAATAGGGCTTTTCATACACTGTAGGTAGGACTGCAAATTAGTTTAACTTCTTTGGAGAGAGCAATGTGGAACCATCTAATAAAGCTGAATATGTGCATTCCCTACAAGTTGATAGGAGTATTATTCATTAGAGAAACTGTTATGATGGGAAGGCTTGTGTAATAATTGCATTACATCATTGTTTGTAATATTGAAAAGTTGGAAACAGACTAAATGGGAATGAATAACTTATAATTTATTTTTTAAAATAGAATACTATATATAGGGATTAAAATTGATGAACTAGAGCTACAGCTATCAACATAAGTAAATTCCAAAAGAGCTACAGGAATCAACACAGGTAAATCTCAAAAACAGTGTTGAGTGAAAGGCTGGCTGCAGAATGATATCTATAGTATGATTGCAACTAATGTAAAGTTTTAAAACAGGTAAATAGCACTATATATGGTTGATAGATAACATTTATATGTATGTAATACAAGTGCAAAACAGGTCCAGAATGATCATCACCAATTTAGAATAGCTGTTACAGAGTTAGGGAGGGATATGTGGAGGAAGGATGATCATGGTGGTAGATCACCCTCTGTAATGTGTTATTTCTATGAAGAGAGTTATTTGTAGCAAAGACTGAAATATTCTGATTTATTAAAACTTGATAGTAGTTACACAGGTCTTCAGAGTATCGCTCACTATACTTTTTTGTATGTTTGACATATTTCACAGTAGAAGAAAAGAAGTAGAAAAGCCCTGATAGCCTTTAACAAGTAGCCGCTCTTGTGCCAGGGATGTCTCTTATCCCTTTGAGTCTTTGTTCCTTTTGGCAGTGACTCTGGAGCTCAACAGGCTTCCGGGCAGGGAACTAATCTTGTGTTTTTTTTTTTCTGAAATGCGTTTCTACAGGCTAAGGAAAAGGACTTCAAGCATTTTCATTCTGTGGTTTATATCAATGCCTCAGAAAACTTGCTGCCTCTAGGTAAGCTTTTGTTTTTTTGAAAACTGTCTTCTGCCTCTTGGCCAGCACAGCCATTCACATGTGTTAGGATTTGCCTGCCTGTCTGTCCATGATTGGCCATGCATCTCTTTTTTGGCGTGCTAGGCTGGGTGCTGGAGAGTATACACAGACCCCAATTTCAACCCAGCGCTGACACTACCTACTTAGAACATTTCTATGTGAGCTGCTATTTCTCTGTTTGTAAACGGGGATAATTCCCATTTTTTCTTCCTTCCTGTGCAAACTCAGATGAGATGGGTGTATTTAAGCCTGTAAGTGCTCCTTTAGGAGCTTAAAGCCTTCTTAGTCAGCAAATCCACAGCGACCCCTGCTGGGTGCTAGGACCATGTGAATGCTTGGCGTTTAGAAATGGGTACATCTGTTCCTGCTCTGGTGAACTTGTGGTTTGGTGGGAGAGATGGACTCAGACACAGAGCAGGATGCAATGGGAACAGTGTCAAGGGAATCGGGAAATGCTATGCCAGCATGTAAGTGGCACTTCAGCTCAGGCCACAATATCAGCAGGGACTTCTGAGAAGAGGAACAACTAAGCTGAGAACAATAAATAAATAGGACTGACTCAGGAATTGGAAGGTAAGGAGGCATTCCAGGCTGGAGCAGATGTGGAATGGTCTGATCAGGGAGACTGAGAGGCTTTGTATATTTGCAAGGGAAGCATATGGGGGAAAATTGAAACTAGAGATGTTGGCAGGGACTAGATTATCAAGGTCTTTGTGTGACTTGGACTTCGTTCTCCAGGCAAAGGAGGGCCTTGGAAGACTTTTAAGTAGAAAAGCTCAGTGACAGCTGTGAGGAGGGCGGATCATAAGAGAGGAAAATGGAGACCAGGAAACTTGGGAAATGTTTCAGTTGTCCAGGGAGGGGAGATGAAACCTGAGCCAGGTCTGTGGCAAGAGTGGTACAGGAAATCTAGGGAGAGGGAGGGAGAAGGGGAGGAGGAGGGAGAGGGAGAGGGAGAGGGTAGAAATCACAGGACTTGACAACTGATGGGGATGTAGGGAGAGAGAAGGATCAAGGGACTTTTTACTGAGAGCATGCTAGCGGAGAGGCAGATTGGGGGGAAATAGGATGAGTTCTGGTTTTTTTGCATTGAATTTGATGGGTGTTTTTAAAGAAGCATATAATGAGGTCCCCGCCCTTTGGGAGTCATTGTGGTCTGTCAGGAGCTTGGGTTTGAAATACAAGGCCAAGAGGTATATGAAAGTTGTTTAACCTCTTTAATAATTACAACACATCAAGATACTATTTTCTGCCTCAAATATTGGCCAAAATTAAAAGGACTGATGACAGCCAGCATTGGTAGGGCAGTGGATACTCTTGCATTCTACTGGCAGAAGTATAGTAAATTGGTACAACATCTTGGATATAATTTGGTAGTGTTTTTTAGAATTTAAAATAGTCTTTGTCTTTAATAGTTTACTTCCAGAAATTTATTCTATAGAAACATGCTACAAGGCTGTTCAATGAAAACATCCTGAAACAACCAAAAAGCAGTCTTTGTATTAGGCACTACTGAGCATTCCAACTGACAAGACTACCTTGGGCCACACTTAACACCAGGTTCACTTAGATGGCTCTAAGTAATTCCACACAGTATGCCAGTGGAACAGCAGCAGTAGTTTCTCTTCAGTGAGTTTCTCAAAGCCATCCACGAGCCATTCTCTGTGCCTCTGTCCCCTGTCAATTCAGGTGCAAGACAATGAGGCTGTCATTGGGTGGATGCAAGAGCCACCTGGCTTAGAAACCTCATTCTCTACAAGAGCCAGTTGTTGTTATTACACTTCATGGGCATAGATCCTAGAGTTCCTGCAAAGGACATGTTTGATTAGAGGAGTCACCCAACACAGGGAAGCCCAAAGTTGTGCCCCTTCCAGGTGTTTGTAATTCATTTATCCCAAATGCAGTTTGCCAAACTGGGGTCATTTTTACCACTAAATAATTTTGCCTAGTAACACAGTTACCATACCATTTGTTTCAGGTTACTAGGGAAATAGGGCTAGAAAACCAACAATCCAATTCTCATGCAGAGGGAGATAAGTTTTCTTACCTGTTATCTATATAGCCTAAAGGCTGTCAGTAGGGAAATGAATAAGTAAACTATGGTACATCTATACTAGATAACATAATTAAGACATTAGGCAAATCTGTATGTTTTGACATGGAACAATCTTTAGGTCATAGTGTTAAGGGAAAAAAGCAAGTCAGTACAATGTGTATAGTAGGATTCCATTTTTGTAAAAAGTGTGTGTATGTATGTCAGTATATACATGAGAAAAAGTTGAGTAGTATACATGAAACTTTTAATAGTTACCTCTGGGTGTTGGGATTAAAGGGAACTTATATTTTTTGTGACATTCGACTCTTTTTGGTAGTCATGTTTAACCTTTGTAATCAGGAATAGTAAAGATAATTTTTCAAAATGGGCTTTGTGGTTGAGCAGACTTAGATTCAATTCTTGGCTCTCCCACTTACCATCAATTCCATTTCTGGCAAATTGCTTAGCCTGGCTGAGCCTTGGTTTCCTCAGCCACAGAATGGAAGTAGTAATCTCTATTTTTCAGGATTGCAGGAGTTTTAGGGGCCATGTATGTACGTCTTACACAGTGTCTGCCCTAGCCCATTGGGAACCCAGTAAATGGTCATTGTTAATATCTTTCTCTTAAGTCCTTTACAAGCTTAAGTCCTTTACAAGCTTTCTCCTTCCCATGTAGAGGCATTTCACACATTTCCAGCCTTAAAGGAACTGGAGCTTGCATTCAATGGCATCAAAACAATCTACGTGAAATATGGAGACTTTAAGTTATTGGAAGTAAGTTGGAGGTAGTTTGGTGCCCATCTGTTCCCCTGTAATGAATGGGTGTAGAGTTCTCTAATCATTATTGCTATTGGGAAGGGGCTGACTGGGTCTTTGTAGCCAAGTCCTTGCTTCATTACTGGCCTCCAGGGCAGGTGGAGGTGGTGATGGTGGGGTGGGAGTAGTGGTGGTGATGGTAATGGAGATAGTGGTGATGGTAACAGTGCAGCAAATAGTTGATCCCTGTGGCCATGTTGCATAGTCCTGGGAAGTAAATGCCCCAATAGTCATGTCCAAGGGAGTCTGTGCAGAAAAGTAAGTTTCAGCAGAGTATCATAGGAGGGAGAGTTTGAGGAGAAATCTAGATTCATTGGGGGTTGAGGAGCCATGGCGGTTAAGAGCTAGGCACAGCAGATTGGACCAGCTGAACTAGAGACAAGGACCGATGACAGAGACCTATCCTGTGAGCTGGATCCATCCCTGTGGCTGGGATAGAGGATAAACCATAGGCCCAAAGGGGAGTATGAAATAAAATAGGGCTCCTATGGGTTCAGCATCATACTCTTGACACTTGTACATTCACAGCTGTTCTCCAAAACCCAGATTAGAAAATACAGAACATTTTGTTTGCATTCTTCAGTTTCTCCTAAGTTAAATTTCCCATAGTTAGGCATTTTCCACGCGTGTCCTCATTCTTCAAGTTAATTGCCTCTTAACCTTTCATGAAGACTTGAGGGCCATTTTTCACAAAGGAACAATGTTTTTGTCACTATGTGAGAGTCACATGGAGAGTAGAGAACAGAGGTAGAGCCAGCTGTCGGGCTGGGCATCTGGCCAAGTTTACTTAATGTAACTTCTCCATGTGTTGGTCTTGTAGTAGGTGTTTCAGATTCAAACCTCATCAAAATGTGTGCATGCCACAAGCCTTTAGATTGACCCCAAAGAGTTGGTAACTTAAGTGATTTCATTTGCAAACATCAAGGGTCAGCCATTCTTCACAAAAGCCTCATCTAACCTGGTCTTGTCAGGGAAGTGGGCCTTCCATAAGAGTGAATTTTTCAGAGTTGATGGCCTTTATATGCCAATGTTTTATAAAGTTTTAACCTCTTGGGATGGCCATCTTCCTAAAATGGATTATAAATCCTTGCATTTTTAAAGCATACTCTACTGAATGTAATGGAACTTTGTCTAGATGATTTCATGTCATATTGAAGATACAAGTGAATTTTCATGATTTGGGACAGAAGTGGTCCTCACACATGTCCAGGAAGTGAAGCTCTCAAAAGTTCAATAAAATTGAGAGAAAGTAAATTTACAACAACAGAAGCAATTTTGTGCTATGCTAAAAGACATTTTATAGTAGATTTTCAGAATGGGTAGTGGGAAACAAGTTCCAGATGCTAGATGCTCTAGAGTTATAGGGAGCTATGTACCTGACCTCCAGGCCCAGGAGCTTCTTCAGAACTTCTGCTTATTCCTTTACCTTTTCAAAGTCACTGAGCTAGGCATTGAGTACTTGTGTTGTGAATTGTGCCACACATCTTTGTCTCCTTCACCTCTACCATTTCAGACCCCTATTTCAAGTGCCAGTGGGCCACAGGGAGGTGACATGGCTACATAGCTGACTACTAACTTGGATCTAATGATTGGCCATGATTGACTTTCGGAGGCCCTACTTTATAGCAACCGATGAAGATTATTCATCCAGCAGACTTAACCTTCCCCAAGGGAATTTATGTACATAAGAGAGCAGACCAAAGTTAAGATGCAGAATATAAATGAAACAGGAAATCTCCTGACCATTTGTTTTCATTTCTCTGTGATTTGCAAGGGCTCCCAAGAAAAAGCATAAACCTGTCAGATATCCTGGATTTGCAGCTCACACTGATGAATATTTTTATGTGTAATAAAACTTGATGTGACTCAGCAGATGTAGTGGCCAGGTTACGAATTTTCTGTTCTTGCTGGCCAAAAAGGCTGTCCCGGAGGGAAAGCCCAGAGTAAAAATCTTCAGGAGTCAATTTAGAAAAATCTTAGCTTTGCCATGATTTTATTCTCTGCTTACAGATCTGAAAAAGGTTCAGGTGGAGCCCTGCCTTGACAGTCAGGAGACCTTGTTTTTCTGGTCTTGGTTTTGCCAGTACTTTGGCATGCCTCCTTGGCCAAATAACCTACCCTCTCCAGGACTTAAATGTCTTGCTCTGTAAATTCTGAGTCAGCTCTGAAATTCTGTGACCTGTAATTCTAAGGCTGTTCATTTCTTTGAGCTGCTTGTAATTCCATAAAAAGCAAATTTGGGTTCAACGTTAAATAGCCAAAGAAGCTAGAACAGGGGTTTGCAAACTTTTTCATTATGGGTACCAGACAGTTAATATTGTAGGCTTCTTGTAACATATGGTCAAACTAGTCATAACTGTCATAACTAGTCATCTCTGCTGTTGTAGAAGCAAACCAGCCACAGGTAATGCGTAAACAAATGAGCACAGCTATGTTCCATTAAAACTTTATCCATGATTCTGAAATCTGAATTTCACATAATTTGCATATGCAATATACTGTTCTTTTGATTTTCTTTTCAACCATCCAAAATGTAAAAATCATTCTTAACTCATGGGGCATACAAAACAGCAGGAGGCCGGATTTGACTCTCAGACCCTAGTTGGCCATGAACTATTCCAACTACTGTCTAAAGAGTGGATTGTAGGGAACAAATATGAGAGATGTCAAGGAGGTAGATAGAATCCCCAGGTCTTGCTGGCTGTTCTCCCCACCTTTACCTGTGCTTACCTGAGGCAGCTTTCCGGGCTTTCCTCCTATACTCTCTCTTTGTCCCAGCCAAGTGGGATCACTCTATTGTGTGAGCCTTCAGACCTTATAATTTGCTAACGGTGAACTCAAAACTCCTGTAGTGCTTAGTGCCTTTCATGGTCTGACAGTCTTATCAATCCCTTCCTTATGCCATGGGCTTCAATATGCCCAAACCATTTACAGTTCTCAGAACAAGCAAGTTTGCCTCCTGCCTCGCAGCTTCTATACGTGCTCCTTGCTGCCTTGAATGTCTCTATGCCCTTAACAATTTGGTGAGGACATCTCTAATGTTACCTTCTCTATGAAGCCTGTCCGGACCCCCTGGCAGACCTGACCACTTCTTCCTTTGTTCCCGCAATGGTATGTCATCAGACATCTATCCCAGCTGTATTGGCCACATCCAATATGCCAGTATCCCTATTCCTCAGACATGCATTCAGCTATCTCAGATACCTGGCAGACATTGATAAGTACCCTGAGAGCAGTTTCAATGAAGTACTCAAAGTCAAGAGAGGGAGAGATTTCATCTGGCTGGGGAATTTGGGAAGTTTTATACGGAGGCAGCTTTTGAGCTATCCTTTTGGGGCTTAGATTTGGATACATGGAAGAAGGACACTCCTGTTGGAGTGAAAACCACAAGCAAAGATCTATAGGTGGGATGGGGCAAGAAATGGGGAAGAGTTAACTTGCCTAGCACCACAGGATAAACAAGGTCTGCAGTGGCAGCTAAGGGTGGAAAATAGGTTGGGAACAGACTCTAGTTGACCTTGAATATTAATCCAGGGAACCAGGGGGGTTTAATCCTGTGAATGATGGGGCACTCTGGAAAGTGAGAAAGTAGCTCCCACCTCACTTGTTAACATCATTGTCACCTGTAGTGCTTCTGTTTCCCATCTTTTTTCTTTGCACGGCAGTTCTTGGACCTTTCCTTCAATAGCCTGACTGCAGAGGCCATCTATGATCTGGGAATTCTGCCACACCTTCGTGTCTTGCTCCTTACAGGCAATGGGCTAACCTCCCTGCCACCCAACTTGGCTGTCTCAGAGCGGTAAGTTCTACCTCCTGGAATCCACCCTGTGTTTCCTCAGGAGCCTTTGTCTATGTCCAAGTGTCTAAGGAAATAGTCCAAAGTAGCTTGGAAGTGCTGTAAAGACAGGCTGTGAGTGCTCAAAGTAGAGAGAATGCCACCTACTGAAGCTCCCAGGAAAGGCCTCAAATTTCCTGTGTGCTGTTAAGAGAGACCCAGATATTTGGCAAGCTATGTTCCCTGCCTCTGATTGGTCATTTGTAAATTGAAGATGTTGCTCTTGCCAGACAATTCCCCTTCATGAGCCCTCTACTTCAGCTCAGTAAGTCTATTAACAAAGTCTATTCACAGAGTGAAATAAACTTTGTACATTTCACTCTGCCCCTTTGCTGAAGTCATTCCTTTGGCCAGGTTGTGCTGGTCCTTCCTCTCTTAGTAATGATAACTCATATGTAGTGCATACTGTGTGCTATGCACTATTCTTAGTACTTTACATATATTAACTCATTTACTCCTCATAGTAGCTCCCACCGGTAAGTGTCTTATTATCAGCCCCCTTTTTTAAATGAGGTAATTAAGGTACAGACAGGCTAAATAACTTACCCATAGTTACAAAGCTAGTCAGTGGCAGAACCAGGATTTGAACCAAGTCTATTTGACTCCAGAGACCACACTCATGACCACTATATTGCCTTCTTATATAGAATCTGTACAGTTTTCAAGGCCCAGCTCTAACTCTCCTCCTTTCTTTACCAGGAGCCTTCTTTAATTGCTTTAGCCCACACCTCATCCTCCTTTCTCTACGCATCAGTTAATTATAATGTTTCCCCTATTAGTTTAGTATTTAGCATATTCTGTTTTGACTTATGCCTCATAAATATATATATTTAAAATAGTTAGTTAGTTAGGATTATATATATAGTCCCCTCAAGTAGATGTGAGCACTTTGAGGGCAGGGGCTCTGTCTTACTAATCTTTGATCTGCAGCATCTAGATGAGGATTCAGTACTTTGCACACAGTAGGCATTCAATGAATGTTAACCAGCTTACAGATAATGATGGTGAAAGTCATGGTGATGTTACTCATTGTGATGATGGCAGATATGATGGAGATGACAGTGATGATGGTGGCTGGTTAGCTGCTCAAGGGGGTTGGGCTAATAGCAATGATCATTATATTCGTTAATGTTCTTTCGTTTGCAAGTAACAGAAGTCCAAGTCAAACTAGCTTAAACAAAAATGAAATTTATTGGTTCATGTATCTGAAAAATCCCAAGGTGAATCTGCTGGATTATTTTTGCTGGAATCAGGAGCACAGGATGTTATCAGGGATCTTTGTGCACCTCTATTTCTTGAGCATGTGTGCAGCTTCTGTCACTCTGTTGCATATTGCCTCATGCACATGTATGTTGTTTTCCTTAGTACTAGCATCATTCTTAGGCAAGCTTTCTCCATGCCAAGACATGTGTCAGTCAAACTGTAGTTAGGAATACAAAGTCTACTCAGGTTTTGCAAACAGATAGGATTTATTTATTCATTCTTAGGGAGGAACGATAATAGTTGGTATTTTATTATGGAAAATTTTGAACGCATTTAAAAGTAGAGTTAACAGTAAAATGAACTCCTGTATGTCTATCACCCAACAATTATCACCTGACAGCAGACTGTAGCCAATCTTGTTTCATCTGTGCCCCCCCCACACACACACCGTAACCTAGATTATTCTTAAGGAAAATCTCAATATATCAGCTATAAATGAATCCAGAAGATTAATTTCATCTGTGAATATTTCAGTATATACCTCTAAAAGATAAAGACTCTTTGAAAATCATACTCAAAGAACTTTTATTCCACCTAAAATATCACCAGTGATGAACAGAGGGAATTTGTTGTGTGGGTGTTAGAAGTGCTGAAAGAACAAAACGGAGAAGAGGGGAGATCAGAAGCTGCTAACACTGCTGGACTGAAGCCCCAAAGTCTGTACCTGCTGCTGGGTTTTTCAAGAAGTTGTTGATGTAACCGTAGATCTGCTGAAGATGTGCTGCCTTAGCCAGGCCTGAACCTCTGCCAACATAGTCACCACTGTCAATACAGCCGTTGCTGCTGTACTGTCACTGCTGCTGACAGAAATGCTATCAGAAACCAAACGAGAGTTGCTTCTCCCCCTGCTCTGGTCTCCCAGTCTTTCAGCAGTCCCTTCTATTGGCAGTATCCAGTGGGAAGTCAGTTGGAAAGGCAGTCTGGGAAGTGTAGTTAAGAGGGTAGCTCCAGCCCCCTAAAAGACACAGCAGAGCACAGAGGGAAGGAGTGAAAGCTGAGCACAAAGAGCCAAATAACTGGTGCTGTTCAACCCTTGGAGCTCCAATATGTACTCTCCCCTTTCTCTCTGTATTTAATTTCCTTACAACAATAGCAACTGTAACATCCTTTCACCTAGCATGAAAGAACTTTTCCTCTTTCACTGAAGACACTATCACTGCTTCTAAAAAAGGATGAGATGCAGTACATTGTTGTTTTCTAAAGAAAGTTATGGATATTTTATAACCTAAAAACTAAGTTGTAAAGTCAGTCATCACTAGAAGTTTATACATGTAATATGCACATGTGCACGCACCCCCCCACACACACACACATAAAACACGTGAAAACACATAGTTGCTACAGTCGTCTTTTCTTAACTGGTAAGGAGGCCATAGTGGATATTTATAAATCTTTTTTTCCATCATCCATTTAATGTCCCTTAGCCCCCATCTAGCATCTCAGCTGGTTGTCATTCTTAACTGTTGTGGTATCCTAAACCTTCACTCCTGAAGGGTTTGAGTCCTTAAAGGTATTGCTCTTATTGGATTGCTGTCGTCTTCACTAACTTTAACTAAAATATATGAAACTTCTTAGAGGAATAGCAGATAATTCACTGGATCCCAACAATGTTCTTTTTTGCCCTTAAGGTTTAACAACAATTACATTTACTTCTGATAAACAGTGTTGGTCACTCAGCCAGTAGAAACCCACCTTGCCTGCTTATTGGTTTAGTGGAATGAGAAACTCAAGTGGCCAGTAGCAATCTCAAACTCTAGTTCAGTGAAATTATTCTTGTTTCTCCTGGTAAAAGTACTTTCTTGGGAACTAAGACCTGTAACTCATAAGTGCCCAAAGTTGCAGGAATGAGAAGCCAAAATTTTTCAAGTGGATTATTAGATATAACTGTAAGGGAAACCACACTCATTTCTATTCATTAATCCTGGGCCTTTATGCTATGGTTATGAGAAAAATAGTATCACTGTTGATTGCTGGCTTATGTGATATCCCATGTTGTAAGTTAGAACCCCAACTTCCCCAAATACATCTAGCTGGTATAGTAAATAGAACATCAAAGATTATTTCATCAGAGGATTCTGGCAAGATGGTGGAGTAAGAAACACTAAGAATCTGTGTCCTCACCTAGGCAACAATTTCATTGGTATAATCTGCTTGATATAAAAATGTGAAACTCTAGAGAAAGTTTGCATCTTCCAGCGGTAGGCTTGGATGGCAGTTAATTTCAGCCCTTAGCCCAATAATATCTACCCATCCCTCAGCCCCCAGTCTCATGGTAGGCAGTCATGTATGTATCTCTGCAGTAACTCACATGCGGTTTGTAGAAGCCAGGGTGGACAAAAATATCCCTGTTCTCCAAATTTTAGAGACCACTGATTTGATTATTGATTGTTGTTTCTGATCATAGAGGTGCAGCCACAGAGGCAGGCAGGCATTGTTGCACGTATGCCCAACTCCCACTCTTATAAACCCCTATATCTGTCTCTACAGCTGAAGAGACTTCCAGGAAATTTAAAGCACCAATGCCTTTTCTTTATCCTCTTTCACTTTTCTTTTTTTACCCCTTTTGGGTGCCAGACATTAAAGTCTGGGACATTCAAAAACAACCACATATATGGGTGAAATTAGAAGGTCACCATAATAAAGACCTCAGAATGCCCTAAGTTTACATCTCAGACTGATCATTGACATGGAGAGAGACAACCTATGATAATAAACAACAAAATAAAACAAAAAACAGCAAACCCTGGTAAAAGGGGAGAATCTCATTTCCAGAGTTACTATATTAATAGATTCAAATATCCAGTTTTAAACAACAGCAACAACAAAAATCACAAGGCATACAAAGAAACAAACTGTCTCTGAAAAAGAGGGAGGACCTACTAGATAAAGACTTAAAATAACTGCTTTAAAGTGCTCAAAGAGGCTGGGCGTGGTAGTTCATGCCTATAATCCCAGCACTTTGGTAGACTGAAGCAAGAGGATTGCCTGAGCCCAGGAGTTTGAGACCAACCTGGGCAACTTGGTGAGACCTCATTTCTACTATAAATAAAATAATTGCCCAGCAAGTACCTGTAGTCCCAGCTACTTGGAAAGCTGAGGTAGAAGGATTGACTGAGTCCAGTAGGTCAAAGCTGTGATTGTGCCACGCATTCCAGCCTAGGTAACAGAGTGAGACTCCAACTCTAAATAAACAAGCAAACAAATAAATAAGTGCTCAAGAACTAATGAAAGACATGGAGAAGGTCCAGAAAACTATATATGAACAAAATGGAAATATCCAGTAAGAAGACAGACAACCTAAAAAAAATTCTAAGCTGAAAATTATAAAAACAAACGAAATATTCACTAGAGGGCTTTAAAGGCAAATTGGAGCAGTCAGAAGAAAGAATCAGCAAACTTGAAGATAGGACAATTAAATTTATCAAGTCTGAGGAACAAAAAGAAAAAAAAATGACTTGAATAGAGCCTAAGAGACCTGTGAGACCATTGAGTGAAACAACCTATTTATTGTGGAAGTCCCAAAAGGAGAAGAGTGAAATGGCAGAGAGATTATTTGAAGAAACAATAGCCTAAAACCTTACAAGTTTGATATAAGACATGAATATAAACATCTATGCTAAGGATCCACAACTACATAAAGAATGGTATAATGGGCACTGGAGACTCAGAAGGGGGAGACAGGGAAGAGGCAGAGGGACAAA